TCTGGCACAGCAGCCTCTGCGTATAGACAGGCTACAGTCTTCTACGTCCCTCTAGGACATGGGATGCGAGAGCTTCCTCACCCTGCCTTGCCAGTTGGCCTCCATCCTCCTCCTAGGGGACCACTCCTGGGGGTGAGGGGGGTTCTGATTTCATGGAGGCTTCCAGAAAGAGTGCTGATTAGTGATAACAGCATTGGGATGTTTGTATCATGGATGCTTGGCTTCTAGCTGGATGGAAATGGTCTGTCAGAATCAGATCACAAAGCCAATGACTAGCCATTAGGCCAGGGGTGGGCAATTATTTTGGGTGGAGAGCTGCTTGCCGAGTTTTGGCAGGCCATCAAGGGCTGCATGATAGGCAGCCAGGGGCAGATAAATATTAATTTTCTAAATTTTTTAGGGGCCCCACAGGCTGGATAGAATGGCCTGGTGTGCTGCATTTTGCCCACCCCTGCATTAGGCAATACCCTACCCTACCTTAGTTCTTATAGTGCCCACATCACCCCAGTATCTGAGCACCTTCCTGTACTGTAGTAAGCAACACGACTTACGTCTGCTTCTCTATCCAAGGCCACTATCGAGCTGGGCTAGTATCAGCTACCCTGCAGTCTGGAGGTGAATAAATAGCTCTCTATCACCAGTCCCCATTAATCCTCCAACCCACCCTGTGCTACTGTCCTTCCTAGCATGCTGCCAATCTGAAACTGTTGGTCTTCCCTGCAGGCCACCTGATGAATTGTTCTCTGATTTCAGTAACCGAGACAAAAAAAAAAATCCCAGCCCCGACATAAGAACAAAGGGCTTCTCAGATGCCCCCCTGAGGCTGTGTTGCTTGGACAGGCAGCTCGGGACGAGATGCATTTCCATCACACATTATAGTTAAAACTAATTGACACAGGACATGCCAGCACACGTGAGGTTGCAGTCCTGGTAGCAATGTCCAGCAGTGTTTCATTGCTCCGGCAGATGGCGGCCTTCTTCAGTCCTTGAAGACTTTGTCCGGCTGACAGCTTCGGGCCCTCAGTTGCCTCCTTGGGGTCCTGCACGGCATTCACCGCTAAGTGAGTCATTCTCTGCCTGGGAGATGTGGGATGTTTTTACACTCCCCAGGTCATGTTGGCCAGGGCAGCTGGAAGATCATTGCACACGTGGCAGAGACTGATGGCTGCGCTCAGCGCGGTCCTGGAGCATTTCTACACTCAGTGGCTTTCGCGTCCCTACCGTTGGCAGGGGGAGGAGGCAGAAGCTTTGTTTCCAGGCTTGCAAGCATGTGGCGCTACGGTTCGCCCTCACATCAACAGGCCGGTTTTGTTTTCAGTTGATAAATAGCTGCAGCTTGTCACTTGTAGAAGAAAGAAAGAACAGTGCGAGCTGTGCTGTGAAAAGCGGGTGCAGGCACGCAGGCCTCCCTGCAGCGCCTTGTCACTGAGCCTGGACCCAGTCAGCTCACCAGCAGGCATGGTCAGCCTCTCTGCTGCCATGGCAGGTGCTACCCAGGTGCCCACCCACAGGGCAGGGGTTATATGCTGGCCTCTACCCCCAGGTTGGAATCGTGCCCCTTTGACACAGCCCACGTTCAATTCTGCTAGAAGACAGGTCACCCTTCTTATGTCGTGAGGAGTCCTGGGACCCTCCTTGCTTTTTCCTCATTCCCCTTTCTGTAGCATTGGCTCCACTAGCAGACTCTGCTGTCATTATCTGTGGGAAGCTTAGACTGTATCCTGTCTGCAGGGCAACCTTCCCCTTTGCTAAGAGCGGGGAGGGATGCTAGCAAGAAGTCCCAGCTACGAAGGAAGCAAGGATGCACACTGCCTGAGTGTCTACTTGTCAGCTCCTCTACTCTTCATCTGGGCAAACCCTTCCAGCTGGTCTGGAAAGTCACTGCAGATTAAGTTAGGCTGGGAATTTACAGCACGGAGGCTATTCTGAAATACCCCTTTCTATGACTCAATAGCTGCTCCGTTTTGAGCCATCCACAGCATCCCCTGCCCACAAGAAGCTGTTCCAGTGAATTTTCCCTATGCTTGCAAGCCCTTCTTGCTTCCTCTCCTTCCCATCTCAGTCTAACAAAATGCCCCCCCCCTTTGCAGTTTCAGCTCCATAAAGGGGTCTTCCTTCCCCATCCTAAAGTCCGGCTGTTCTGGTTGGTGTTCTAACCCGTGTGGCATTTATTGATTGATTGATTTGCTTAAAGCCCCAGCTCCTGGAGTCATGTGATTAGTTGAGACAGCTTTTTTTTCCTTTTTTTAATGAGGAAAATCAGCTCTTGTGATTGCACAAGAGCCTGAACAGGTTCCTTCATGCACCTTACAGGCCCTGAGGAAAGAAAGCAAAGAAAAGAGCTTCACAAGCATACCATTTCAGAGCAAACCTATCACGTTTTTGAGTCAAGGTCCTGATTTTTGAATGCTCAGGTTTGACCACTCTCTGTGTCCCACTGCCATGGACAGATGGTTTTACGTCAACACTGGGTGAAGCAATCCCTAACGGACCTAGCGGAGGAGGAGGCTGGAGGGGGTTAATGAATGCCTGTGAAGTTCTCAGATCCTTGGCAGGCTGGTGCTAGGACACTGATCATCCTTTTGCTGGGAGATAAAGGTATTAGGCTTATCAGCCTTGCTCTGGATTTCCTCATTAGTCGGTGCAGGTCACTTCAGATAATGAGCACCGGGGTGGGCTCTAGGCTACAAAAGGGATGGGCCAAATCCCAGATAGGCCCTCACCCTCTGCTCTCATGAGGCTGCACTGCCGCCTCCATCCCCAGCAGGCAGGGCAGACCCAGGGATATGTAGGGAGCTGTCTGCTAATAGAGGTCTTTTCACTACAGAGGAAGAGTTTTGGACTAATCCCTTCACTGCGCTGCAGATATTTGAGGCATGAGCTATGGTTTTGTGCCTATTGTGATCCCCTCTGCTGTGAGGCCCAGGCACTGCTCTCTTGGGGGCTAGAGTGCAGAGGCCTCTTCAGGACTACCCCCAGGGCAGCAGATGGGGGCAGGTTGGGGCTCTTTCTCCAGAGTAAATTGGGTGCAAACAGATGCATTGTTAAACTCTTGCTCTTTTACCCTGGAGCCATGACAACTAGGCACAGCATTGGGCCTCTGGCTGGGCCTGGCAGGTGCTGGGATGGGAATCCTAAAGGGGTGTGATGGGGGCAGAGGGGCTGCTAAGCAGGAAAAGGCTAGGGGGGAGGGAGCATCTCCTGCTTGACCTTTTAATGCAGAGGATAAAACCACAGCTTAGTAATCAATTGCACAGAGCCAGGGAGCATTGGGGTGGAAGGGAATCTGCACAAGGGAGAGGTCTGGTAAAGGGTCTCGCTGAGTGAAGGCATGGGCGTAAACCATACCAGAGGTGCTGGGCAGGGGGCCCAGAAGTTCAGGGGCCCTGGCCCACGGTGCAGCCAGGCCCCCAGGTGAGGAGAGGGGCAGAAGCGCTGGGGCTGTGGAGGGACCAGGGCAGGGTGGATTCAGAGGGGCACACACCACTCACGCCCCTGGACCTTGGAGCAACCCCCTGGAGACTCCTTGCTGGACTTGTACCTGGAAGCAGCTCTTCTAACAAAGCCCCAGTCTTGCTCACCAGCCCTGGGGCTCTTATCCTTTGGCTACCGAATAAGGCAGCTTCTCTCCCTCCCCCCTCTGCCTTGGAACTGAGCACAAAAGCCTCAGCTGTCATCTTGGCCCTGCCTCTATATCCTTGACGGACACTGGCCAGGGCTCCGGCTGCTCCGTTCTGCTCAACATCAAGTTACTTTCTGCTTCCTGGATTCTTGGCCTAATTTGGAGTCCAAGCAGCATTCCCATTTAAAGCCTAATTATTTTGGCTGTTTTTAAATTCCAGCCCTGTGCTTTGTTCAGTAATCAAGTGCACGAGTCATTTGCCCTACACCCATGTTCCTCCCCCCCCCCCGAGCACAAAGAGGCCTCTCTGGATTGGGGCTCTGAGCCCTGCTAATGTCTTGTCATCTGTCTGCTATTTATACCAGGCCAGAAACGTGCATGGCTCAAGCCCCCTGCACAGTGCCACGGGCATGAAAGCAGCAAATCTAGCCTGGGTTCCTCCCTCCACACAAGCCCTGCATTAGCAAAGGTGCCACAAAGCGACGGGCAATTCCACCCTCACGGTCTTTCCTGTTGGCATTCACACTGCCCAGCAGTGCTGTGCCAAGCTGCAGTCCACCTCCTGTGGTCCCCATGTCACCTGCTCCCTTGCCTCAATCACAGTCCTTCCTCGCCACTCGAGTGTCTCACTGGACTCATCCTCATTAAGAGCCTGCACCTTTATCAGGACAGAGGCTTTTAACTTTATTACTGCTCGCTCTGATCCTCTGGCATGGGGTTGAAGGAAAGTCCCAGGCCACTCCCTGCCTCTTGCTTTCCTTATCTAAAGCAAGCTGGGTATAAATATTTCGTGATTGTGGGGGGGGGGGGGGGGGGGAAGGGAACTAATGCTGGCACAGCACGCTGTAGAGGGACAGCACTGCACAAGTGTTAAGTGTCAGGTTAGCACCTCTCCTGTCCCCAGCCACTTCTGTTTCCAGCATCTGGGCTCCAAAACCTTCCATTTCATCCCCGCTGCCTTTTTAAGAGGAAAAGTATAGAACGTTTATTGGCTTCTTCCAGTGCAGTCACTGAGCAGGGAGGTAACAAAGGGTTAAATGCACGAGCAGCACATTAAACTGCCCTGGATTAAGGCATTCCTTCGCTTTAGACCTGCATGAAGTCGGTCCCCCAGGGCTGTATGGAAGAGGAGGAGGAGAGGAACATGGGTCTGAGGAGCTGGGAATGCACAGGGCTCAAATCGCATGCAGCAAAGACAGGAGATCATCCAGTTCACTGACATTCCTGTGTGGAAAATCAGCATGCCATCTGCTCTTGAAGGCTAGATGGACCCCATGTGGACCTTTGGACTCTGAGCCTCTTGGTCCAGATGCCTGTATGAACCTTGAGCACAGGGAAAGGAGAATAAAGAGAAAGAAAAAAATCTACCACGCTAAGATAGGTGACATTGCCCCCCTTTTATGGAAATTAATATTAATAGCTCATTTGGTTTCTATACAGACATATACAAATAGGAACAAAACCAAGTTTTTCTTCTATATACAACATCCTTAAGTTAATTAATTAGGCTCTTTATAAAAAAATGGCTCTTCCTAAATTAGTGTCATATTTACAGACAGTACGGGCGAGTTTGCCTTTGGCACCTTCCCGTGGACAGTGTAACATACACCAAGCAGCACGTCCATAGTGATCCAGAGAGAAAGAGTACCCGCATCCGTGCTCATGGGACCTGGTACATGAATGCGAGACAGGCAGTAGGCACAACTCTAGTGCATGTTACAAGCCAGAACCCTCTTGATTTTGCTTAATGCTTGTTTGCTAGGAAGCGCATTAGTAGAGTCTGGAGGAGATCCTGTGTTATGCACTCTATTGGCAACCAATGCATCTCCCATAAGGCACAAGATCAGCGCCCTGCAGATCCTCCTTCCTGTTGGCTGCAGGTGCTCTGCAGAGCCCTGCATGGCACCGGTACTTCCCGAGGCTGGGGTAACATGTGCTACATCAGCATCAGCTCAGTCCAGTCCCAGAGGGGGGCCAGCCCTGAGAGAGCCCGCTGCAGAAACAGTGCACGGAGGGGAGCTGGGGTCACACGATGTTGGCGAGTTCTGTGGAGTCCGACTCTGAGCTGCTGTTGCTCTCCTCCCTGCTGAGCAAAGGACAGGAGCGTGTTAGACAGAACAGCCGTGTCCCTCCCAGTGCGGGGTGGGTGGGGGAGCTTGCGGCTTTGTAGTGAGAGGCAGTGAGCCAAAGGGTGTCCTGCCATCAGACCATTACCGGGCATCGGGTCTCCAGCCCCACTTGTCCACTCTGCCCAGAGCACCAGCATGGTGACAACGGGAACAGCGACTCTGTTTTCAATACTTTCCCTCCCATCAACGGGAACTGGATTGAGACCGCCCCCCCAACCCATGTCACCAAGGCCGTTGGATGGCCACGGGTCCCCCTAAGCCCACAGGAAGGGGGCACCATTTCCCTGTCCCCAGGTGTAACACCCCCCCCTGCCCCCCCCACTGCTCGTAGCATCCAAAGTCAGGAGATGCAGAAAGTGAAAGGGCAATAGAGGCCTCGGAGCACAGCCCACCCAGGGAAACATAGTCCTGGCACAAAGAAGAGCTACACAGCAGGGAAACCCAACACACGCCTGTGGGGAGCAAGGTGCACACTGGGGCAGCTGGTCCAATTTTAGCGAGCGATGATGTATGTGCCATGGCACCAAGATACTGCCTGTGCTGCTGGGGTGAGGCCTAGGTCCCTGCTGTGCTACTCTCCAGGGCACCCCTTTCTGCAGCACAGGTGGCTCCAGGGCTGAGGGGAAGACAGCATGAAGCCATCTGAGGGCTCTAGGGTTTCACCACTCCTTGGGACCTCCAAAAGCCAGCTTAGAGCAGCATCATGGCAGGTCTGACCAGCCCTATGACCATTCAAGATGCCAGGCTGGACCTGGCTCAAGTCCCAGAGCTCTCTGCAGCACCCTGGCCAAACCAAGGAGCTCATTCCTTTTCACCCTGTGGTGCTGGGGCACCTGCCCCAGTGCTGGCCCTCACCTTAACTCTTGCAGAGCTTTCTTGTTCTCCCTCCGCTTCTTCTCATCGATGGGGTACAGCTTGAAGAGGAGCAGGCCCAGGAGGATGAGGGCCACTGGGGCTGCCGATACCAGTATCCTCAGTGTGGTGTGCACCGCCTCAGGCTGGGAGCAGCCCCGGGTTTGGTACCCTGCAAAGCTGCAACACAGCAGCAGTGTTAAAGCAAGGGAGAGATTCACCAAAATGTTCCCAACTCCATCCCCCTCCACCCTGCCAGGCCCAGCTCTCCACAGACCACCTGGGAAAGGCTTGGCATTGCTGGTACTCTTCTGCTGAGCCTGTGGCCACTGCATTGGCACAGGGTCAGACCCTCCTCTCAACTGCCACGGAGCATCACCTACAACTCCTTTGAATGCAAAGCCAGGACCCCACAAGTCTGCAAACTGCCAGCCTCTCTGCTTCCTTGAGGAGGAAGGATAGCCCAGGGGTCAGGGCACAAGCCTAAGGCTTGGATTCAGATATCTGCCCCAAACTCCCTGCATACAGTCATTGATTGAAACAGGCTGCAACATGCTTAGATGCTACAAAATACTCCATCCTGAGGCCATATAGAAGTACCACAGACATCACATGGGAAAAGCAGAGGGCAGATCCCATGTTCTAGCACCTCCATTCAGCTACCATGCTAGCTCCTCATCAGGGAAACTACATTTTATGGGAGCAAAGGAAGCCCTTTCACCACAGACTGGCACAACTCTCTGCCATGATGTGCACAGGTGTCTGGAGTAGCCCTCGGTGCTGACTGTTGGATTCATAACCCCAACTGCCTTCATGGATTTGTGGCTCAGACTGGAGAAGCCTCCCCCCAGGGCTGAGAGGGGCCTTCCTTCTGTCCTAATCTAAAAGACTGTGCCAAGGACTCACTCTAAACTGAGCGTGGAGACTCCCAGAGACACGCCGGAGGCAAACTTGGTGAAGAAGACGTAAAAGGAGAAGAAAATTGCTTCATGGCCACGGGAGTCAGGGTGCTGGAGATTGAAGTCATCGATGACATCCGGCAGCATGGACCTGGGGGGCGAAGAGGGGAAGAGCCATGCTCAAAGCCAGGCTAGCAAAACCCACGTGTCTGCAGTGGAGACAAGCTTTCCTCTTTCAAAGCAGAGGCAGCTGCTCCCCACCCCGCAACCACATGCACACAAACATGCTATGGACATGTCATATGCTTATTGGCATGCAACACCAGGCATCCCAAGGGCAGGAGTCTTTTCCACCACCGCTCAAGACTCATTAAGCAGCCCCTATATCTGGTGTCACGATCTCCAGCAGGGCAGACAACCACTGCAAACCCAAGGCTTCCAGTGGCTCATCACTGGGTATGTCATGGCCCAGCGGTGACAGAGGATGTGGGGTTGTAGCTCACAGGAACAAGGGACTGGCAGGGACATCGAGTCCTGCCTGCTGTGTTCACAGGCAGCCATTCACCCAAAGACTTCCCCTGCATCACCACAGCAAACGCTCTGCACAGCCACAAGGCACACCACTACAAACCCCAGGAACACCCTACTACACACCATATGTAAAAGCAGGAGTGGGAGGGAAGCAGCAGTGCCCTGCCACTAAGGAGGCAGGGAAGCAATTGCTTAATACATACTCAGGGGACCCTAGAAGAGCACCAGACCCCTCACTACAGAAGAAAGCAAAACCCCCCATAGTCTTGAAGACTGACTCCTCGGGATGCCCTCCCCATCTGGACCAGCACCATGCCCCACCACCTATCCACCCAGAGGCCCTGCCAGCGCCCCCCCTCTGGACAACATCTGCTGGACACAGACCCTTTTCCAGCCTGGATAGGTAACTATCACCCCCCACCCCCTCTTCAACCAAGGACTTGGACTCTGTTTCTCTTCCCCACCTGGACTCCAGCCCTTCCACTGAGTCTCTTTCTCCTGCTGCCGTTGCGCGTGAGAACCAATAACTTCATGGGGCTGCGTAGTGTGTTGTCCGTTTAGTAAAAATGTTATTTGGACCCCTGAGTTGGGTTTGCTTTACTACAGTCCAGCCCTGCTCCAGTCTCTGCTCCTCGCCCCACTAATGTGTCTCATTTCTCCCTCTCCTGCTTCCGGCTCACCGCCACCTCCAACACGTGTCCTGAGCTCCGTTTCTTTGCCACTGTCTTATCCCCACTGCCTTTTCCCCTGAGCTCCCAGGTTTCTGCCTCAGTTTCTTTCCTGGCCATCTCCTCCTTGCCACCACTTATCTGCCGCCCCCCACCCCCATATCTCAGCTGTCTGCCACAGTTTCCAGTCCCAAGATCTCAGGTTTCTGTCTGTCTCTCTTTCCTGGCCGTCTCCTCCTTGCCACCAGGTTTTTTTCCCTTGCACCAGTGACCTGCAGTAACCCTGGGGCCACTTGATCTTAAGTAAACCCAAGTCTCAGTTCCTCAGCCAGATTTTCTCTAGT